AAAAGGCCCCAAAGGGGGTGGAAGGGGAAGGGGGGGGGGGGGGAGACAGAGAGAAAGAGAGAAGGGTGGGGTGGTAGAAAGAGGCAGAAAGCGAGTGGCGGGGGCAGAAGGCAGGAAGAGGGGTGGCAGCCGGGTGCCTGAACTACCACCACACGGATGTCCACGTTGCGAGTCACTCGTCCAGGAGCCATGCTTGGATCGCCTGGAAAGATTGGGCGTGGGAAGTAGGCCCATTGTGCTGGGGAATTCCCTGCCGTTTAGTTTGCCAGGCGAGATGCAGGAGGAGTAGAAGCAGAAGAAAGGGAAGAAAGCAAGGAAGACAGGAGAGCCCACCTTGTGCCCCGCCCGGCAAGAGTTGATTGGCTGAAATATGATGCTGGTAATGGGCAGGGAATAGCGCAGGTGAGTGCCATCTCCTGCCTGGGAAAAAAATACCAAGAGAGACCGGGAGGGGAAATGGGCGAGGATTCTACATGTGCGTGCTGAGACCGGCTCAAAGGGGGGAAAATCCATTGCCAAAGAGGTCTCAGAAAACGCGGATCAACACTCTTTTGAAACTGCTCTGGGGACGGAATCATGAAAAACGCACGTAGAGCAAAAATCTAAATGCAGGAGTGAAGGTGGGGAGTGACGTGGAAGGAAAATCCTCGAAGTGCTCCAAAGGCCGAAGGCCAATGCAAAAACGGCTCTGTTAAACAGTCTCTGTTACAGTCCTAAAATGATGGTGACTCAAGGGGGGGGAATCACCCTGATTGCATCCCAGAAATAACTGCCTGCATGCAGCCTGCGTAGGGGGGGCCCAGCCAGAACCAACAGTCTGCTGCTTAGACGGCACCCCGTCAGGGTGGGTGTACAGAAGGTGGTGGTGGTGGTGGTGACCCACATCCCCCTTCCGAGTACAAAATGGTGGCACTCCCTCACCTTGCTGAGAGAATGGGGGGGGCAAGCCAGATGAGGCCCTGGGAGTTCTGTGACAGGAGCTTTTGCCCCCCCCCCATGCAGTTAATCAGTCACCGGGGGGGGGGACACAACAAATCTGATCAGGACCCTGAGGGGAAGGGAGGGAAGAAAACCTTCTTACCCAGCTCTCCACCTTCCTCAGCAGAAACCACCCCAGGAAACCACTTGTGAGCCCCGCTGGGTCCTGACATGGGTACCAGAGCAGCTCCACCGGGGCCGTTTCCCATGGCAGACCCGTTGCATCGGGCTTCTGACCTCACCCGCCTGAGAACAATAACCTGGGAGCTGTGCTGGTGACGCTGCCTGGTGTCTAGTTTGGCTCTCAGAAAGTCTGGTCTGGTGTGGTGTGGGTCCTGAGGAGGACTGGAAATGGGGCCCTTGCCATGGGCCACCTCCACTTTTGTGCTTAAGAGCTTATGCAGTGGGGGGGGGGAGAAAGGAGTGAGCTGGTTCTGAAGAAACTGATCCCTGCTTCTTGTTTGCCCTCCAGAGATGAAGAAGAACTGCGCAAGTCCCTTTCAGAGCTGGCAGACCCCAATCCGAAGTCCATCAAGCGCATCAGCAGCGGCAGCAACCCTTTCCTGGACTTCTCCCAGGACCCCAGCATAGCCACTTACAAGCACGGCCTCCTGGTCCGCAAGAGCCATGCTGAGCCCGACTGCAAAAAAAGTATGCATGTTGGGGGGCGGGAGGGAGGGAAGGGAAACAGGGGGGAGCTTAAGCTGGAGGCAGCAGCTTCTTGCCTTGGAGCTGGGCAGAATTTGGCGGGGAGGGTCACATTAGCTCAGTAAGGTGGTAATTTCTAAAGAGAAGTACCGGAAATGGAAGGAGGGTCAGATTACTGAGGGTGAGTACAAGAAGCAGGCTCGAATCTGTAGGGATGGTGTCAGAAAGACTAAAGCGCAGATGGAGCTGAGCCTTGCGAGGGATGCTAAAAACAAGAAGAAAAATTTCTATGCCTATGTTCGGAGCAAAAAGAAGAACAGGGATGGAGTAAGCTCATTGCTAGGGGAAGACGGTCAAGCCTTAACAAGGGATGAAGACAAAGCAGAATTACTCAACTCTCACTTTGCATCAGTCTTTAACCGTAAGGTGAGCTGTATACAAACTGAAGAATGCAGGGGATATGAAGGAAGGAGGAACGGCCAGTCCAGAGTAAGTAAGGAAATGGTTAGAGAGCCTCTAGCTGCCTTAAATACTTTCAGATCTCCAGTGCCGGATGGCTTGCATCCCAGGGTGCTAAAAGAAATTGCAGATGTTATTTCAGAGCCTCTGGCTCTAATCTTTGAGATGTCCTGGAGTACTGGTGTTGTGCCGGAAGCCTGGAGAAGAGCGAATGTTGTCCCGATCTTCAAGAAGGGAAAAAAGACAGACCCAGGAAATTACAGGCCTGTCAGTTTGACATCAGTACCTGGAAAAATTCTAGAGCAGATTATTAAATGCAATTTCTGTGAGCACCTTGAATGGAATGAGTTAATTGGTAGTAGCCAGCATGGGTTTATCAAGAATAAGTCATGCCAGACCAACCTTATCTCCTTTTTTGACAGAGTTACCAAAATGGTTGACTCTGGCAATGCTGTGGATATAGTGTATCTAGATTTCAGTAAAGCATTTGACAAAGTTTCTCATGATATCCTTGAGGATAAGCTGGTTAAGTGTGGGCTGGATGGTGCAACCGTTGGATGGATTCATGGTTGGTTGAAAAATCATACCCTGCGAGTGCTCGTAAATGGCTCTGCGCCTACGTGGAGGGAAGTCTTGAGTGGAGTGCCGCAGGGCTCAGTCCTGGGCCCGGTGTTGTTCGATGTTTTTATATATGGAGAAAGACATAGAGGGGATGCTTATCAAATTTGCAGATGACACGAAGCTGAGTGGGCTTGCTAACTCTGAAGAAGACAGAGTCAGGATTCAAAATGATCTAGATAGGTGGAACAGTGGCGCGGAGACAAATAAAATGAATTTCAATAGAGAGAAGTGCAAAGTCCTACACTTAGGTCCAGAAAACCAAAGGCACAGATATAGAATGGGTAGGACTTGGCTTGACAGCAGCACACATGAAAGGGACCTGGGTGTTCTGGTTAATAACAAGCAAAACATGAGCCTGCAGTGCGATGTGGCTGTGAAGAAAGCTAATGCAATCTTAGGATGCATTAACAGAAGCATTGTGTCCAGATCAAGGGAGGTGGTGGTTCCGTTCTATTCTGCTATGGTCAGGCCTCACCTGGAGTCCTGTGTCCAGTTTTGGGCACCACATTTTAGGAATTCCTGGAGCTACACAACCCAGAATTGACATCAGTGCTTCAGGTTCGGACCCCTACCACGAGTAATGCCCCCATCTTTGTACCATGATCCTTGATTGTGTATTGTTGTCCTACTGCTGCTAATGCCCACTTTTCCTTTCGTAACCCCTCTGCCCGCTTTGCACACCTGCTGGCTCCGCTTGTTTGCTTATCAGCCCTCCTTGACATTCCTGGGGGGGGGAGAGTGTGAGAATGAGTGCATGGAGTTGCGTAGAGGCTTCGCTTGTTCTTTCCCCAAAGCTACCCCCATGTGGTTCACAGGTTCCAGCTGGAATAGGGCTAGTTAGGTCGCATAGTCTTTCATGACCTGTAGTGTGCCTGAGAGGGTGTGACGTGTTGAGGGGTGGGACCCTTTCCCCAATTCCCGACCCTGTGCTATTGCTTGTTAGTTCTGGCAAAGGTCTTTCCCATAAACCTAATTAAGGACTCTTGCATAGAGAGTGGTTACTCTGGGGTCTGACAGTAAGATGCCAGCAAGGCAACCATGCAGGCTGCTGCTGCTGCTGCCGCCGTAGGGGAAAAGGTTTGGAGAGAGGATTACCTGCTGCTGACCCTGCAAGTGCCGGGCTCCGAAGGGTGGGGGAGAAAGGCCAGCGCCAAGCCCGCCCTGCACCACCTGCTCTGGAGGTGTCGAGGAGAGCAGTGCCCGGAGTGACACAGGCCCGCGTGCGCTCTGCGGAGGAGCCTGGCTGGTCTCCAGCAGCAGAACCCCTCCCCGAAACCCACCCTACCCAGGTGGCACCTTGCGGCCTGCCCTGTGCGGAGCCCTGCCTCGGGGGCAGCCAGCAGCCCTTGGATGCCAACAAGCACTGCAGCCGCTGGGCTGGCTTTTACCCGTTCTGCCACCTTCTGTGCTACTGACCCTCTCCTTTGCTCGGCAGCACCCAGAGGGAAGCGGGGATGGAAGACGTTCCATGGGATCCTGAAGGGGATGATCCTGTATCTACAGAAGGTACAAGGACAACAGGGGCCGGGAGGGGGGGGATGACAGCAGAGCTGTACACATTTCCAGGGCGGGGGGGAGAAGAATGCACCAACACCACCACAACCCCCCTCCCCCCCAAGCACACTAACACATGCAAATCCTGCAGACGGAAGGAGGAGGTTGGATCAGTCGGGCTTCCTCATGGGCAGTAGCTGGGGAAATGGGTGAAGTGGGGAAATGGGACTCAAGGCTGCACGGAAGCTCCGAGGTCAGTGGCTGTCAAGGCCAGGAGCCCCTCCACCCAGCGAAGCTGGCAGGGGAAGCACAAGACAAGAGACTGGCCGCGCAGGGAGGGAGGGAGGGAGACTCTTCTGCAATGGGTGACCCTGTGAAAGGTGGCCCGTCTCGCAGTTCTCACCACCCTCGGCCTGAAAGGGGGCAAGGAAAGGAGTCGCTCGTTTTTCAACTCTTCTCTGTCAGAAAACTGTCCAGTCCTTGCTGGCTGCCTCTCAGCATTCTCCTTTTGGAGCAGGGGAGGGGGGGCTGCTCTGCCGCCTGGAATCGGTACATATGCTGAGCTCCTCCCCCCCCCCAGCACTGGGGGGGGGGAGGAGAGAGAGGCGTGGGACAGGCTGGGCGCAGGAGCAGAGGGTGGCTGAAGAGGCGTCAGTCCCTCCCCTGGCAGGCATTAGCGGGAGCACCACCACCACCACCACCCCCCTTCACGAGAGGAGCCCCGGGGGGAGGGGGGGGTCATTTGTGCAGACTCTCCCTCCACTCTGGCATCCTTGGCATCCTGGAAAGTTAGAACTCTCCAAGAACAGCTACAGCATTCCTGTTCCCAGTTTGGTGTCGTGGTTAGGAGCGCGGACTCTAATCTGGGAGAACCGGGTCTGATTCCCCACTCCTCCTCCACTTGCACCTGCTGGTGGGACCTTGGGTCAGTCACAAGCTCTGTCAAGAGCTGTCCTTGAAAAAGAGCCGTTTCTGTCAGAGCTCTCTCAGCCCCACCCACCTCACAGGATGTCTGTCTGTGGTGGGGAGGGGGAGGGAAAGGCAGTTTGTAAGCCCCTCTGAGACTCCGAGTGAAGGGCCATGGGGTATAAATCCAATCTCTTCTCTTCTTCTGCTTCTAGCAGTCCCGCAGCAAAAGTGGGTCAGGGAGGCTCCTACCCGGCCTGTGCTAGCCTCCCCTCCCCCCCCCCCAAATCCTGGGAGACAAGTCCAGTGCCGCTCACATGGAAGGGTCCCCGGTGTAGCTCCAAGTGTGGCTGCCTGCCTGCCTGCCTGCCTGCCTGTTTCATGGGCTCGATGAGTGGGGAAAGCCCCATACCTCCCCGGGGAGGAGCGAGTGTCTCACCTTGTCTCTCCCCCACTCCCCCCGCCTTTCAGGAGGAGTACAAGCCCGGCAAGGCCCTGGCCGAGGAGGAGCTGAAGCACGCCATCAGCGTCCACCACTGCTTGGCCACCCAGGCCTCCGACTACAGCAAGAGACCCAACGTCTTCTACCTCAGGACGGCTGACTGGAGGATCTTCCTCTTCCAGGCCCCGTGAGTCGGGGGAGCCCTGGGCCCGGGCTGCTGTGCCGCTCCAGAGTCAGGCATCGCCCAGAAGCCCCGCTGACACCGGGCACATCACCCCCAGGGGGTTAGGGTCCGAGGGGGCGTTGTGGCTGCTCTCCCGGCCGCTCGGTCGGTCGGTCGGACACTCCCTTGGCTGCACGACCGGGACACTGGCACAGGCAGGGTTTCAGCTGTGCAAAGCCCATATTGGTTTACTCTGTCTCTCTCTCTCTCTCCTGCCAGGAATACAGAGCAGATGCACTCCTGGATCACACGCATCAATGTGGTGGCCGCCATGTTTTCTGCCCCACCCTTCCCAGCCGCCATTGGGTCCCAGAAGAAATTCAGCCGCCCTCTCCTGCCCAGCTCCACCACGCGGCTGTCTCAGGTAAGCGCCGGATGGGCGGGGCTGCCGCCTTCTAGGGGCTGCCGCCAGAGGACTGAACTGGAGGAGGGAGCCACAGGAGCCTCCTGGCTGGAGGAGAAAGGGAGTCGCCCTGAACGGTCTCCTTGACCTGACTCCTACGTTGGACATAAGGAAGCCTGCCTAGCCCAGCTTTGACCCAACGCACCGGACCTCGGAAGCGAAGCCGGGTCCGCCCTGATCAGTTCTTGGATGGGAGACCAACCAGGCTGAGGAAGGCCATGGCCAGCCCACCCCTGCTTAGCCCCAGGCTGGAGCCACACGAGTCAGTCCCAGCTTAGTCACAGCTCGACAGCACTCCAGTGTCATTGCTTTTATGGGGGGGGGAGTGTCAAGAGCGGCTGCCTTGAGGGAAGGGCTTGTGGAAGCCGGAGGCTGCTGTGTCCAGGGGGGGGGCGCTTCCTCGCTTCTCTGAAAGGGGGCCGAGAAGTGCTCTAAGAGCAGCAGAGGCTCCAGCCAGAAGGGCAGTGGGGCTTGGGTGGGTCAGGAAGGGGGAGGCCCCGGCTCAACACCACCCACTGTGAAAGGGGATGCCCTGACCCCCCTCTCTCTCTCCCCCCCCTCTCCAGGAGGAGCAACTGAAAAGTCACGAAACCAAATTCAGAGCTATGGCCGCTGAGCTGCTGGAGCACCACGCCTCCCTGCCCGAGAAGAAGGTCAAGGGCAAGGAGTGGGAGGAGCTGAAGCAGAAGGAGGAATACCTGGTGTTTGAGGTCAGTCACAGAGGATCCCGTGTGTGTTCCACACCAAGCCCATGGCTGACCCCGCGGGGAAAGGGAGGCTCGCCTGAGAGGCAGCCAGGCCTCCTCCTGCTTGCAGGTGAAACAGGAGGATGGCTCTCCTCCCCCCCCCCCCGGGCCCCCCCCCCCCCCCCCCCCCCGGCCATCTGGTTGGTCTGCAGCTCAGCTCAGCTCAGCCTTGCACCGATGGGCTCAGAGGGGCTGCTGGACAAAAGGGAAGCTAACTGTGCCCAGCATCCGGTTTCCAAGCCGCAGCGCACCTCAGAGGTGTACAGACTGGGCTGGACCCGTTACCCATTCTGGCCAGTAGCCACCTTCCTCCAGCCCTCTTTGGAGGCCTTCTAAGACCGCCAGCCCCCCTGGGGGAAGGCCTGCGTGCCTTCCAGAGACGTTGGTTCCCTTTCATGGTGCCTCCGTCAGCTCCTCCTGTGAGTCATTTTTCTAAACTGAACAGCCCCAGATGCTTTCTGGAGATGTGAGAACCGGAAGGGCATCATACGGTATTTTAAAGACACCCCCGCACCCTCCGTGGGGATCAATCTCCTTTGCCTCTTGGGGGCTTCTTTCTCCCAGTCGTGCACCCAAGCGCCCGTTTCTCTTTAGGCTGTAGCAGAATGAGAAACCACACCGGCCCGGTGAGACGAGAGCAGAGGTGTGTGTGGGGGGGGTGTTTTGTGGAAGATCAGCTGCCTCTCACTTCTCATTTGGCCACAGAAATCACGCTATGGCATCTATGCCACATTAATGCGTGCCAAGCTGAAGACTGGCTCCGAAGACCTGGCGGCCCTGGAAGCTGCCCTGTTCAGCACCACCGCTAGCACTGAGGACCACCTCAAGAAGTCGCGGTCCAACCTTTCCGTCCACCAGGAGCCAACCGGCACCGGCCCCCGGGGGGTCAAGTGCAACCACCGACAAGCCACCAGCAGCCTGCAGAAGTCCTAGAAGGGCACCGGAGCCTGCCAGGAGGGTGGCTGCATGACTTCATTCTCCAGGGCCAGGAACTCTGCGGTCAGACTGAGTCCTCGGACAATTTCACCAGCCAGCGAGAGGGCCTGTGGCCTCTCCTGCTCGCCCTCCCAGCCTGCACAGCCTTCCTCTGCCTCTTGGGACTGGGGAGCCTGCTGGGGTGAGTGAAGCTGCCCAAACCGCCCTCCTGCATCGCAAGGCAGCAGGGCGGCTTTCCAGAGTCCCTCACGGCACCGGGGAGGGGGGGAGGGGGGGGAGAAGACGGCCCATTTCTTGCACACACAAACGAGGACAAGAGAAGCGACGGTACCCTGGCTGCCTTCGATTCAAACCCCTCCCCCCCACCGCCACCAGTTTCTTACACTTTTGGTGATAAAATGTTTTTAAAAACTTTTAGTACCTGACAAAGCTGAGCCCCACGGCGTTTGGGAATGCTAATTTTGATGTGGGTTGGGGAAGATCTATAGAAACCTGGTCATGAGGAGCCACGTTTGGTGGTCAGATTTGTTGAGCGAGGGGAGGGGGGGAAGAGGGGGCCAAGAGCCATCCGCCTCCAGCAGCCCCCACACCACACCACACCTGCGGGTGCGCCAGCAACTCCTGCACTGACACCACCCCCCCTCCTTCACCAGCAGCAACCCTGGGCGGGCTCAGTGATGTGTCTGCCACCAGCACAAGCCGGCCCTTGACTGGCCCTTGAGCTGTGCTCTGCACATATATGCCGTTGGCTCCAGGGTCTGGACGGGGGCCTCGAGACCAGCACTTCTGCAGGGTAGACCCGGGAGGGGTGGCGGCGGAGGCAGCAACAGAGGATGATGCCTTCAGGTGGGGCCAGCACCATAAAGCCATACTCGGGGGGGGTCTCATGCGCCCCCCCCCTTCTAGTCCTTTCCCCCCCCCCCCCCCACCAGAGGTTCAGTGTGGATGGTGAGCGTGCTGGCCGGCCACCTTCAGAGAGGCCTCTGGCTCAGTCCTGGCCTACTTGTACAGCTGGTGCGTTGGAAGAAGAGCCCGGGCAGAGAAACCGACCCACATCACTTTCGGGGCACCCAACCAGCAGGAGAGGGCACTTGGGTTGGGGCTCCGCCGGACAGGCGGGGGGGGGGTTTCCCATCGCCACCCTCGGCCGCACAGCTGTGCCACCCCCACCGCGGCCCCTGTACAGACACCCTGCTCCTTTAAACGCATCATTTCCAAGGGCTTTAAAGGGTACAGCTCGAATGCTTGACTTGCAACATGCATGCAGCGAAGAGAGGCTGGTACGGGAAGGAAGCCCAGCTGCTGGGCACAGAGCAGGCCCAGTGGAGATCCCGAGGGTGGTGCGCTCCAGGGGGGAGGGAGGGAAGAGAGCCTAACCTCCTGGACCCCAAGGGACCGTGGCCTGCCTCCAGCACTGACTCGCTGAATGTGTCTTTTTTTAAATTATTGTTCTGCTCGAGTTGACAGCAAAAAAAAAAAAAGGTCTTAATCTCTGTACAGTTTCTTCCTTCATTTACTGAAGTAAAACCTTCTCAAGCACTCTAGTGGCCTGATTCTCACTCCTATCCTCAGACCCTGGAGGGGATGTGGGGAGGGGGGAGAAATGACTGCAGCCCCACGGGGGCCCTGTCCCTGTGGACAAAGGCAGGGAGCGAGGGGCACACACACCAGAAACGGGGCCCCAGGCACGTCTAGAGGGAGCCCCTTCCAGCTGACGGGGGTGCACCACAAGGGGGACCATCTGGCTTCTTTCTGACTTGCTCCAGCAGAAGGAGAAGCCACCCGGGGGGTCCATGTCATGTGCCTGAGACGTCCCCCTTCCCCAGGCCCCCTAAGGCTTAAGTCAGTGTGTGTGTGTGTGGGGGGGAGTGCCAAGCAGAGGGGTGGGGCTGAAAACAGGTGATGACGAAGGCTGAACGGGTGGGGCAGAAGAAGCAGGAGGTAAACGTTTGGGGTGTTGGCGGTTGGGGGGGGATGAACGAAGGCCGGGAAGGCCAAGGGAGATCCTCCCGGTACTAGAAATGGGCAGCGAAGAGAGAAGACAAACAGGGTTTAGTCAAGAAAACAAAGTTGCACTCACTTGTTCACTGTTGTTCTGCAATGTCTTCTGTGGGGACACACAGGGGGATTGCACTTCCGCCCAGCTAAGAAGGCCCTAGAGGGGTGTGGCTCCTCCACTCCGGAGTGGGACTCAGTGACTTTCCATCCACAAACCATCACACGCTCCGGAGGCGCCCCCCCCCCCACTTTCTACCTCAGTTCCTGCCAGGCCACTGCCGCCAATTACCCTGGGAAGCACACAGCATGTGAGAGCTCACGGTGGGGAGGGAGGGAGGGTCTGTTCAGAAAACGTCAGCGAGCAACAGTTACATTAGCTACTCATCAAAGGAGGGGGGTGTGGGGCTCTCTCACCGAAAGAGTGAATGAAGAACAGCTTTGCCCACATCTGCATCCTTCCTTGCTTGCAGGTCCCATGCATAGTGCTTGGCAAACACGTCCTCCACTGACCACATCACAAATTTGAGACGTCCACTAGAGGGACTCTCCTGTGGAACACGGTGGAGAAACCTCGTGCTCTTGGGGAGTGCCCTGTGCGATCTCTGGAAGGGGCACTGCTGTCCAGCTGCCTCACAACAGGGACACAACCCACGTAAAAAGGGGAGTGAGAAGCAGCAGCCTTCCCCTTTCTTGGGCCCCCATGACAAGTGGACAAGGTTAGGGTTAGGCCTTCTCTACTGGGAAAGGTCTCATCCTCTCCACGTAGTATAATAAAGCCCTTTGAACACCCAGGGCATGGAGCGCCTTCTCAGCATCGGACTCCGTGGGCAGAAAGAAAACTTGGTAGTACTATCTTTTGCGCTAGACGAAACGTAGAGACAACCTTGAGTAGGAACTCCAGACTGGGGTGGAGTGCCACCTTCTCATTGAAAACTTGCAAGAACCGGGGGTGCGGGGTGTCCTACCTTAAGAGCTCCTGGCTGAGTAACTGCTATGAGGAAAGCAACCTTCCTCGAGAACAAGGTTAGGGGACACGCAGGGCCCATGGCTCGAGAGTGTGTGTGTGTCTTCAAGTGAGCGGAGACCAGGGAGAGGGACCATCGTGACACACAATGTATGTGCGCTGGGGGGGGGGGACACATTGAGTAAGCCCTTAAGCAGGGGTGTCATAGAATCATGGAATGTTAGAGCTGGAAGGGACCTTGCAGGTCATCTAGTCCAACCCCCTGCACTCTGCAGGAGCACAGCTGAAAGAGAGCCCTACATACCTACAACATACCTACAAAGATGGCCGTCCAGCCTCCGCTTGAAAACGTCCAGCGAAGGAGTCTCCACCACCTCCCGCGGCAGTCTGTTCCACTGCTCAACCACCCTTACAGTTAGGAGGTTTCTCCTGATATGTAGCCGGTAATGACTCCCTTGTAATTTCCACCCTGACCCACCGGGGTGGGTGGGGGAGATGCAATTTCGGTCTTTTAAGTGGCACGTGGATGCTTCTCTGGTTTTCCTCACAAGAAAAACAGCCACCTGTCAACTGAGAGGGACTCCTCCCGCCTTCCCCCCAAGCCTGAGCGTTCTTCTCCACCTGCGGCCTCAGCCGCCGCCACCCAGACTTCTTGACGGGCCCTCCTCTCCTCCTCCTGGCTGTCCGGAGGAGGAGCTACCAGTGGGACGACAGGCCGGGCCCAAGATCCTGGCCTCTACACCGTTACTGCTGTGGCCATGCGACAGTTTCCCAGCATGCCCCTCGGCGTGCCTTGGGCCCTTCTCTTGTCAACCTCACCCCTTTCTAAGAGGCCAACACAGCCCTGGCAAAACCACGATGGGAAAGCAGCACCACTGCAGAATGCGCTGCAGCTGCAACAGTGCTGGCAGGGGTTGCCTCGAGAGCATTTCCAGCACTAAAAACCGGCTTACAGCTTTCTGCAAGTCAGCCCCTGACTTTGCCCTCTCTATGCTCACTGCCTTCCTTCCCTGGCTCAAGAAAACGCCCCAAAGTTCTGCTAAGCAGAAATGGCCTCATGCAACAAAACAACAACAGGATTTCCTTTTTAAAAAAAGATGTGCACATTGTTTATTCCAACCCCGACTTTGATGCTTTCTGGAACTGAAACCCTCATCCCAAAGCTCGGCACCTCTACTCCCGCCTCCTCCACCCACACACACCCCCTTCCCTGGAGCCGGCTGGCAGAGGGACACCGTGGGGCATACACAGCCACTCTCGGGAAAGTACATTTTGTCACTGGCAAGTAATTCCCCCCCCCCCACCAGACACAAACATGATTGTTAAAATCGCACTTAAGGGAACAGCCCAGAGTGATCTTAACCAGTAGCTGAAAGGGAAGAGTGCAACTGCAAAGTGGCAGAGACCTTGAAAGACCACAGCAGATGGCCCAGCAGGAAGCTTCCAAGCCCAGAGGTTGCTCCTGCTGGATAGGACTGGACAGAAGGAACGGAAAGATCCCTCCCCCCAGGCCCTGCCTTTCCCCACAACTGCCCCATAATCCTGCCCTCCCAGTGCCCGAGCCCTGTGTGTGAAACGCTCGGCCCCAGAGGGCAGCAGTGCACCATCTCCCCAGCAGGAGGCACTCGAATCCACAGGACAGAAAAGGCACTTGCAGGATCAGAGTCCAGCAAAGGATGTCCTTCCAAGGAAGGCAGGAAGGCAGGAAGGAAGGCACTTTGGCTGTCCAGCAGTCCCATGGAAGAGGCACCGGTGTCCCAGAACGGAGAAAACTGCAGAGCCCTGACCAAGCACAGGCCAAAGCCTGCCCACAGCGGCAGAAAATGGAGCCGCGGGTTGGAGCCTCTTCTGCAGCTCCGGCTTCAAGCAAGGGAAGACCTGCTGGGACAGCCGCTGCAGGACCCCACCTCTGGCAGGCCGGCCGTGACCCTTCAAGCAGAGCTGGGCTCCACGCAGCAGCATTCCCGGCCGCCCAAGCAGCGGGAGTGTGTGTCGGCCGTTCAAGGCAGCTGCCGCCTCCTCCTCCAGTTCCCTTTCTCTCTCTCCTCTGCCGCCCCCCTCCCCTCCCTCCCTCCCCTCCC